TCTGGATGCCCCCAGGCACGTGGTTGTGGATAAGGGTACCCATGCTGGCCCAGATTTCCTACTGAAGGTTTTAGCCCCCCATCCATCGCTGCTAGGCGGGGGGAGGATCCTAGACTTATCCAAGCCCCAAGTCCGAGAATTTCCTCTGACCACAGTGACCTTGGTTGGGACGGATCACGGACAGCTCTGGACATGCTAAGGATGGTGGCTCTGCCCACTGCCACCATGTTGGTGGGCAAAATCCAGGTAAGTCTGAGCAATGGCCCTAGGCCCAGCCCCAGCCACCACTGCCAAGCAGTAAGCAAGTTCTGGGCTTGCTTACACCGGAAAGTTCTCTCCCTTCACGGTAAGTACACTGTGAAGCAATAACTCAGGAGCTCAGGTTAGTCCCTAGCTTGGCACACTACCAACATCTTAGGCTTGTGGGCTGGCAGAGCACCAACTGGTCTCAGGCTCTGCACACTGACCAGCTGATAGTGAGCTTTGGAGTCTTGGGAATCTGGAATTACTGCCTAGCGACATCCATGAAAAAGGCCACTGTGCGGGTGGGTAAGGAATGAATCCTGAGGGACACCAACGACAGAGCTTCTGTACTTGCAAGTAAGCAAGGGGACTAATCTTGGTGGTTTGGAGGGGCGAGTCTGGAAGATCTGTATAGGTCAGACTGATGCACCAGCCCACATGAAAGTCCTGGGTTGGGCTTGTAAGCATGGAACATTGCTTACTGCCACACGCCAGCCCACACAAAAGCTATGGCTGGGGGCCTGTCTGGCAGGGCTGGATCCCAGTACCTGACAGGGAATATCAGATCAGGGAATAGGGTACATTAGGCTGGGACATAACATCAACCAACTTGCAAGAAAACCAGGTCCGGGGTTGGATTCTGTGGAGGATATGTGGGCCCAACCCTATGGAATTATAAATCCTGCTGGTTAGCTTGAGAGTTGGGATGGTGATGGGCTGAGCTAGGAGTGACCATGGAACTCACCAACACTCACTGGTACTGGGGCTGGGAACAAGTGGGGTATGTCCAGGCTGTAGCACCCGCATGACCACCCTAAATCAGAGTGTAGATTGGGCCGAGCCATACCAGCTCATACAAAGACCGGGACAGATGGGCAAGGTCATGTCAGGTAAGGGTCAAGTACCAGCCGGCATGTGTGAGATCTGAGTCTGGGAGAGGCTTGAACAAGGGAACCTGGGAAACTCCCCAGTGGCTCATAAGTCCTGCTGATGAGCACATGGTTCAGGCCTGGGTGTTGGGCAGACTGGGCAGTGTAGCTCCATCTGTCAGCAAGCGTGTGAGTTGGTTTTGGAAGGGCTGGACAAGGCAGGGCTGAACAAGCCATAGCCAACTGGCAAGTGCAGAAACCAGGATGGAGTGCAGGTCATGCCAGGATAGGTTGCTATACCTACTTGTTTGTATGAGCCAGGGATAAGAGCAGATTGAGTAGGGCCAGGTTGCAGCACCCACCAGCGCGAGTTGGAACTGGGGCTGACTGGGCAAGGCCAGGCTGCAGCATCTGAAGGCAAAGGCAAAGACAAGGAAGGGGCTGTGCCAAGCTGGGACAGAGCAACCACTGGTAGTACGAGATCAGTGGCTGGAATCAGGCCTGGTTGGGGAGCTAAGGGGATTCCCTGGCTGGATTGTGGGTCTCACTGGTGAACCCAGAGGTCAGAGTTGGGACTGCTATCTGGTCTGGAAATGGTTACAGTGTCTCTTGACACAGGTGTGGACTGGGTCTGGGGTGTGCAAGACTGGGCTAGACTCCAGCATCCATTGGAGCTCATGAGAACCAGGATGGGTATAAGGTGTGCTGGGCTAAATCTCTGTCCCTGCTGAGCCATAAGTGAGCTGTGTCTGGATATGGACCAGGTTTGGCTGGGCTTTAACTCCCAATGGTAAGAACCAGAATGGGTGAGGATCAGTCAGAAAAGGACACTATTGTGGCTAGGACAGGAGGTGGACTAAGTATAGCTTGCCCATGGACCCATCAATATGCATGAGATCTGGCATTGGGAGAAGTTCTGATTGAAGAGGTTGGGAACTCCTCTGTTGGGACACAGTACTACAGATGAGCACAAGAACCAAGAAAGGGAGCAGCCCTGACAAGGCCAGGGAAAGGTACCCACAGGCTTACCTTTGGCTCAGGTCTGGGGCAAACCAGGCTGGGCCACTTCATATCAACCACTGGCAAATCCAAGAGTCAGAACGGTGTGTGGGTCATGCCAGGTTGGACACAATACCAGCCAGTCCACACTTGGGCCAGGACTTGGGGCTGGCTAGGCTGACTAGGCTATAATCCCCACCAGTGCGAGATGAAACTGGGAGCTGGCCGGGCCAGGCCAGGCTATAGCACCCACTGGCAAATGCAGAGGTGAGGCAGGCCACAGCACTCAAGCAGCATACATGAAACCCCAGGGGTGAGTGGACAAACACAACAGGGGGGCTGCAGGGAACTCCCCTGCTGGGCCACTATTCCCATTTGTGAGCGTAAGATTAGGATTGGGGGCTGGACCAGGCTGGACAGGGCTACAGCACCTGTTGGCCTGCATGTAAGCTGGATCAGAAACAAGGCAGGCTGAATGGACAGAACTTAAGGTATATGCATAAGCCAGAGGGTATGAGGGTTGGTTGGGCTCTGCCACAGCATCAGGTAACAGATTCTGACACAGGGGGAAAACTCTGTTAAGCTAAACTGCAGTACTACCTGCAGAGTGCAAGATCCAGGAGTGGGAGTGGGCCCAATAGAGAAACAATGGGCATCTTCCTCTTGGGTTGCCACTCCAACATTGAGCATGAGAAAGAGGACTGGGGGCAGGCATGGGTATACAGAGAATGGCACCCGCCAGCATATTTGTGAGCTTGATAGAGGGGATGGTTGGGTTGAACTAGGCTTCAATGCCTATTCACATGTATGTGAGCTGAATGAGATGTGGCATAGACAGAACCAGTCTGCTGTACATACTGGCAAGCATGAGAACTAGGGCAGGAGGCATGCGTAGTGGGGGTTATTGTGGATCGCTCCAACTAGGCATCAGCTCCCACTGGTTTACGTGGGGGCTGAGTGTGTAGTGGGCAGGATCAGGCTGGACTACAACAACCATTACTTTGTGTAGAAGACAGGGCTAGAGACAGAACTAACCCAGCAATTGTAACAGAGTACACATAGGCCAATTAGGGCGATGGACTGTGCCAAATCCTGTATTGTCATTCACACGCAAAAATCAGGTCTGGGATCTAAAATTTCTTTGGGGATTCCCCCAACTGAACCACTGGACTCAGAACCTCAACCATGGAGAAAATAAGGTTTCATGGTTTGACCATGGAATGCATGTGTCAGTGCTGGGCTTGCTCAGTGCCTTAGACAGAGCAGTGGAAAGCATATTCAGGTGCATATGGAGGATATAGCGTACACTGGAGCCTGCAGAAGACACCTGATACCATAAGAGAAGACAGAGGACAGAACAAATCAATCAACTACCCCAGCAAAAAGTTGGCAGTGAATACCTGGGTAAGTGGAGATGTTAAGATGGACTATGTCAGCCAGTGGAGTCTAGAGAGATTGGATCATACTTGAAGTGGCAAGATCGGCAGTAACACAGAAGTGTTGAACAATCAAAACCACTTGAGGACCCTCGGAGCATGCTCCACATCTGGGAACCTGGGATGGTTGGGAGGCTGGTTTTGACTTCTCCTTTAATCTCTCCCATTCCCCCAGATGCAGGAAGGAAAGAACGAATGTCAAAACAATGATTTCACCCACTTCCCTCTAGTCCTTGATCATATATACCCTAAACAACTGTGTAAAAACTATCAAAAATAAAATTGATACAATTAAGGCCCAGTACAATAGCATAATGGTTAAGGTCCTTGCCTTGAATACACTGGGGTCAAATGTGGACTCTGATTCTAATTCCGGAAGCCCTGCTTCCCATCCAACACCCTGCTTGTCACCTAAGAAAGGAGTTGGGAGTGCAAAGCCTTAGGACCCTGCACCCACGTGGGAGACCAGGAAATAAGTTCCTGGCTACTGCCTTTGGATCAGCGCAGCCCCAGCTGTTGCGTCCATCTGGGAAGTGAATCATCTGATGGAGGATCTTCACCTCTGTTTCTCCTCCTCTCTGTGCATCTGCCTTTCCAATAAAATAAATAAATCTTTTTTAAAAATTGATACAATTAAAAAATATGAAAAGCAAACATTGATGTGAAGTTTGTTGCTTTCTTCAAAAGACACAAGAAGAACACAATCTTAACATTGACAGAGAAAAAGACACAGGAAGTGAAGGCATACCTGAGATTAAGTAACAAATCTGGAGACATCCAGAAAGAAGATACCAAAATGTAGTATGGCAGAAAGCAGACATCCCCTTAGGGATCAAACACTGATCTCAGGGATTATAGGCATGAATCTTGTACTTTTTGCTAATCCAGAAACATACAACAAAACGCTATACACAAAAACCAGTAGTCAAATTGCCTCTGCATACCACAACAGCAAGGCTGACCACAACATGCCTGTTCAGAAGAACAGAGAACTTCAGCACCCAAGAAGGGGGAGTTATGAAGTCTACCCCATGCATCAAACTGAGGTACTGAGATCCACCCAAAGAATGCTCGTCATTGTATCTGACCCAGGATGTTGTCAGCAATAGCTCTGTTTTGACTGGAAGTTGCAATGCAATAAGCACATTTCTCCTGTTCAAACAGGTTAGGTGTAGAAACAGCTCTATTTCTTTCTGTCTGCCTACCCAGTCCCCACACAGAGGAGCACTCACCCACAGGCCCTTTGACTCTCCTACTCACAGCTAGATGACACACACCCAGAACCACCCGTGCCACGCCCTGCCTCTGTTACCTAATCCACTCAGGCCTCCAGGAGCCTGAGAAGCCATTTGTCCTCTGTCAGTGTCCATCTTGACAAAGAAGAGACCACAACAGATGGTTCCGACCTGGATCTCTGAGGTTTGTCCTAACCCAGCTCCTTAAACACATATTCATGATGCTGGCAGACAGGTGGGTCACCCTCCTCCTGCTTGAACTCGTGGCACTTCTGGATGCAGGCCAGTGTTCTGGTGGCCGTCCCGTGTGGCGCTATATCTCATCGGAGGTGGTGATTCCCAGGAAGGAGGTTCACCATGGCAAAGGTGTTGAGGTGCCAGGCTGGCTCTCCTACAGCCTGCGTTTTGGGGGCCAAAGACACATCATCCGCGTGCGGAGCAAGAAGCTTGTTTGGTCCAGACATCTGCTAATGACGACTCAGGATGACCAAGGAGCCTTGCAGATGGACTACCCCTACATCCCTATGGACTGCCACTACCTTGGCTACCTGGAGGACATTCCTCTGTCTACAGTCACTGTTAACACGTGCTATGGGGGCCTGGAAGGTGTCATGAAACTTGATGACCTGGCCTATGAAATCAAGCCCCTCCAGGATTCCCACACATTTGAACATATTGTTTCTCAGATAGTGGCTGACCACGATGCCACAGGGCCCACATATACGCTGGAACAGAAGGAAGAGTTTGATTCCTTCTTCCCTGAAAGAAATGGCACTGTGTCTTCCAGGATTTCCAGTTTCAACTACCTGTTCCATATAGCCCATCTGAAAGGACACATTCAATTTTCTAATGGCATGTATCGTGTATTCAACAATGTAACAAAATGTGTCCATTTGGGGATAAATATGTTTAGCGTTATTGACAGCTTTCTCCGAGGTATTGCTTTTACCCATTATATTTTTCTCCTAACTGTATATGATGTGCAAGACCCAACAAATATGGATGATGTGCGTGTTCCAGGTAGTGCAATGAGTCGGCACTATGTTCAAACTTTCTATAAACCTACTCATTTGCGCCCTTATATATCTACAATGCTTACACCAGATAAGCCAGATGATTCTGAAATTAAACCTAAACAGTATGGCGTATGCAGTAATGAGAACCTCTTGGTTTTTGCTTTCAAAGGCAGACATTATCTCTTGCTGGCTGTTTTAAGTACACATCATATATCGAGAATGATAGGTCTTGGTTTTGATCATACATATTGCTACTGCCAAAGACGAACTACCTGCTTCATGATGTTCTACCCTGAAATAACAGATGCCTATAGTAACTGCTCCATTATACATTTACAGCATGTAGTTACAAATGCAAGGAATGAGCAATGCTATTACCTGACTACTCCGGAGGTATATTTGAACAAAAGCTTGATCCAGACACGTTGTGGAAACTCTATAGTAGAGGAAAGCGAACTGTGTGACTGTGGTTCCTTCAAGCAGTGTTATGCCAATAAGTGCTGTCAGAGCAACTGTGAGTTCACTCCTGGAAGTGTCTGTGATAAACAGCAATGCTGTTCAAACTGCACCTACTCCCCAGCTACAACTCTCTGTAGATCCATCAGAAACATATGTGACCTTCCTGAGTACTGTCTTGGGTCCTTATCCATGTGCCCTGAAGATTTTTACTTGCAAGATGGAACCCCATGCACTGAGGAGGGCTACTGCTACAAGGGGAACTGCACTGACCGCAGCATGCACTGCAAAGAAATCTTTGGTGCGAGGGCAGAGAATGGTCCTGAGGACTGCTATGCCGTTAATCTCATCAGCGACCGATTTGGACATTGTGGCAGAAACAAAACCGCCCTCCTTTACTTTCCTTGTGCTGTAAAAGACAAGATGTGTGGGAGGCTGCAATGTATCAATGTCTTTTACCTTCCCCAACTGCAGGAGCATGTGTCATTCCATCAGTCTGTGTACAATAACTACACCTGCTTTGGACTGGATGACCACCGGGCGACAGGAGCAACTGATGCGGGGCGTGTGAGAACTGGAACTCTGTGTGGGCCTGGAAAGTTCTGTCAGGACAACACATGTTCTGGGGATGTTACTGCCCTGCAATACGACTGTGTCCCTGAGAAGTGTAGCTTTAGAGGAGTTTGCAACAATAAGCGGAATTGCCATTGCCATGTTGGTTGGGAACCCCCACTGTGCCTGAATAGGGGTGCTGGGGGAAGTTCAGACAGTGGACCCCAGCCCAGAAGATTACGTACAGTAAGAAGTAGCCTAGAACCAATCGTTTACTGGAGACTGGTCATATCTCGAATTTACTGTTTCCTTTTGGCACTCTTCTGTGGGGTAGTCACAAGACTACGCCATATTACAACTACCGTGGTCATGGAAGAAACAACTCCTGAGACACACTAAAACATCAGTTGGACACTGGACCCCTGTGCATATGTGGAAGCTCTAACAGCTGCATCTATGGAGAAGAACTGGTGGACCATATAACCATGTTCAACTTCATGTTTCCACAATTCTGCCTGGCACAGAAGGGTCTATCCCAAAGGTCTGTGGAATATTGACTAATGAAGGTTTTCTGTAATGGTTGTCAGTGTACACTCGTAATAAAAGTCAAAAATATCGTGCTGTTTTCTTGTGCACCTTTTTATCAGTCTTACAGCACAGAGGAGCCTGAGTCTCTGTCCATAGGAGGAGCCATGAGATATAGCAATGGAGACACATGAGTGCCCAGTCCTAAGATTAATGGAATTATTCCTATGCTGCCGGAAGACACATTCATGGCTTTCCTACATAATAGTGTTCTCTGGCTCTGCATTTTCCCTCCTCACTGAGTAATCTATATCTTCCTACAACCAGATGAGTTTTGGGCCATCCTTCACTATTCCCAGCTAGTTTCCATCTATGGCTGTGATCATGGGACAGAGAATGGCACCATTGCAATAGAGACTCAAATCACACTCCAGGCACAAGCTCTACCAAATTTGGGCACAGTTTTCTCCAGGAAGGCAGTCGGTGGTGAGGCATGATTTCAACCATGGTCCTGGGTTGTGAGGCAGCAGACAAACAGGGTGATACATCGGAATTTCATCTGGGTCCCTCAGGTACAAGGCTTATGGTATGGTTTCCCTGGATATCATTCTATTTTGCTATGACAGTAGCAACCATGGCTTCTATCACTGCCCTTCTCCTCACTTCAGTGACCAATGCACCCCCAGTGCCTACAGTTCTCAAATCCCAGTGCCTTGTTCTGTGTGCTTCATGCTGATGCTACCCTGAGCTTCAGGCTCCCAATTGAGTCTGGTATTCTGTTCAGTCTACTCTATGGGGGATCGAGCTGCTGTACTGCCTGGTCTCTTGCCCCACTGGATCCCCTGTTTGGGACATTGCTATCCCATTATAGGTCAACACTGCCATCAAACATGCTGCTGTGTCTTAGTCAGGCTCTTGTAACTGGCCCATAGGCCCTGGCACCCATGCATGCCCTTCTGAAGGGAACTGCACTCTATTCACTCCAAGAAGCAGCAGCTTGAGGACATGAATTACAGCAATGCCTGCAGAACAGGAGCAACCTCCTGTTGCAAGAGCATTGGACCCCATCCCAAATTCTAATAAACCAACAACCCCCCTTCAGACAGAATAGCTTAGCGTAGAGCAGGTTCCCAGATGAAGTAAGTGCCCAGTGCAGCAGGGATGTGGACAGCCAAGAGAGAAAACTGGCAGAGAACATTGGCACAGTTTGTGACTCAGAACGAGGAGTTCAGGGAAAAGATGCAGATGGAGGCCTGGGCGAGTCGGCATCTCTGCAAGCTGGGATGTGTGTAATCTCATTGCTGCCGGGAAAAAAACAACAACAACGGAAGTGGGCCCTGAGAAGGGAACCTGTTTGCCTGTCCTGGACAGGCCCTCACTTTCTTCCAATAGAAGAAGGAAGTGTGGACAGGGTATGGGCATCAGCTGTTCAACCAAAGATTGGGAAAGATGGCACCAAGGTGATGCAGACGGGCATCAGCAGGTGTGAAACCCATCCCTGAGGAGAAGCCAGATGGACAGCACACCAAGTTCATTTTCTTCTAGGGGTGGGTCAGCTGCTTTTCCTATACTGCAGACATACACTGATGGTTGATGGAGAAGGGAGGTTTCCTGTGCTGTGGTTATCACAGTTTACTGGGAAAACTCAAAGTCCCAGGCCCTAACAGGAACCAGCCCTCATCATTCCTCATCTTTACCTGGTGTTCCTACATGTCTCTTGCACAGTGATAAGTAACGGTTCCTCAGCTATGAGAAGGTCAATTTACAGATGGGCATCATGTCAGATTTTCATTGAGATGATGAACTGCCTTTCACAGATGCAACATATTTTGCTATTTTTCCATTGCCTTTATTAATAATAAAATCACCCTACACTTGGCTGTAACCTTCTGGCATACATAAGTGTCAGGTCTGTAGCAAGACAGGATGGACCTTTCTGTAACAACTCCCAGCAAGTGATAGAATCAGATAGGGTTGAACACAAGGCTAGGTTGGGACACAATATCTGCCAGGTCATATTAAAGCTAGGACTGTGTGCTGTCCAGGCTGGGCTAGGTTTCCACACCCCTAGCATGAGCTGCAACTGAGGTCAGGCCAGGCAGAGCCAGGCTGCAACACCCCCTGTCATATCTCAAGGTGAAACTTGCCATGACAGACTGGCCATAACACCCATCAGCACATTGCAAGAACCCAGGCCAGGAGCAAACTGACTGCAGGAGCTCCCCTACTGGGCCACTGCTCTACTGGTGAGCATGAGAGCTGGGACTAGGGGCAGACAAGGCTACAACAGTCCCTGGGCAGGATTTCAATAACTGTCGGCCTGCATGGGAACCCTATTTTGAGGAGGACTGAGCTAGGCCAGGGCATTGCATCTAATGCCACATTCATGGGTGTGGGTAAATGCCAACTGACAGGGCTTTCCCATCGCATCTGTTAGTAAGTGCTACGGCAGAGTACAAGTTCTGTCAGACTGGATCACAGTACTCCCTGGAAACTGCAAGGTTCAAAACTGGGACTGGGCTTGGTAGGGAAACTATGGGTATTCTTCTGCTGTGCTACAGCTCCTGCTTTCAAGTCTGAGAGCAAGGGCTGGGTGCTGCCATGCTGAACAATGTGTCAGCACTTGTTGGCATACATGTGGACTACCGGTTTGTTGGGTGGAGTGAGGTGAGCCATGTCTTAACACCCTTATGTGTAAACAAGTGCCTGATTGGGTTGTGTCATGACCATACTAAACAGCTATACACACTGGTATGCACAGAAACCCAGTGTGGCGGCTCACCTGTTAGGGTTTACTGGGTGTTGCCCCAACAAGGCTGCAGCTCCTGCTGGTGTGTGCAAAGGCAGGGGTCTGTGGCATGCTGGGCAGAACCAATCCACAACACTTGTTTGTTTGGTTTGCATGGGATGTGGGGATGGAAATAGAACTAACCAGGCAATTACAATTGCCAATGTGTACATAGGCTGATATGGGTGACAGACTGAACTGGAACCTGACAGGTCTGGAATCACCTCAGATGAGGTTTCTTGGGGGAATCCCCAATTGGACCACTGAGCTCAGAATTCCAGCCACAGGGAGAATCATAGAATTTGTAGTCTGATCTTAGAATACATGTTTCAGTACTGGGCCTCCTCGGTTGCTGTTGACTGTGCAGTGGACAAATGGCTGGTGTGTAAGTGAAGCACTAGGATGAACTCAGAGTTTGGAAGGATTTTCTTAACCTTGGGACAATGAAACCAACAGCATCTCAGAACTCTCAAATCTATTCAGCTTCAAACCATACTCTTGCAACATTCTTCTCCCCACTGGGGTTTCTGAGATGACATCAAGTGGACATCCACATCCCCACGTGTGATGTAGATTGGCAGTGGGAGCAGCTGCTACCTCTTACATTACCTCCTCCCCATACAGAACAAAAGAGAAAAGAAAAACTGGAAGTAGTTCCCCAACCCATCTTCCCCCATATTGTGATCCTCCCTGCCCTATTTGATGGTCCTCACGGGCTTGCATTCTTCTCAGCAATGAGAAGAAAATAAAAAGCAGAAATAAAAAATAGGAGTTCGCCCTTGGCGGCTCGGGTGACAGCAGCCCTTTGCAGCATGGCAGCTTGTGCAGAGTACCTGAGCAGCGTTTAAGATCAAACCACCACACCTGCCCACGTGGGAGACCTGAGATGGGATTGTTGGAATCAACCACCACCTATCAGCACACACGAAAGCCAAGGGTTGGGGGCCTGCCTGGCAAGGCTTGACCACAGTACCCACCAGTGTCTGGGCAGAGGGTGAACCCTGTTAGGCTGGACCATGGCAGCAGGACAGCGACATCCAGTAGAATCGTTTGTCAACAGCATTGGAGTCCTGCCCACTTTCTTCTGTGAGAATATGTCAACACTGCTCCATCGTGAGTGACCCTGAACCAGTCTGACTGCTGGTGGCCTAACAGTGGCCTTGATTCATGGAGGATGTGACTGTGACACGTCCGAGGCCTTCATGGGACTCCCCTGATATGAGAGCCTGCAGCTAGCAGGTCAAATGTCCAGCAACTAAGAACATTAGAGAGGAAGCCTACACATGTGTCTGACAGGCCTTCTTGGGATCCCAGCCTGGTAGCCTTTCCCAGTTGTCTTTGCCAAACCCTGTGCAGTCTGCACCTCCGGGTTTTAAATCTGCCAGCACTATCTGTAAAGGGATACATGGTAAGGGGCTGTGAACCTGGGCCCAGGGGCTGCAGGACTCACTAGACAGCACACTGTGGGGCTCTAGAGAAGCCCTGCTCAGTCTGTAAACTCTAAGCATATTTATACTATTTACACAAACCCATGGCACAGCTGACCCTGAAGTGCAGACTCCATTGCAAGTGTGCGGTGTTTGGTAACCAGGCCCTGAAGGCTGATGGAGGTGTGTGGGCCTCTTAAGACAGAGAGGAGCAGAAAGGCCCCTGCTGGGTTGACCACTGTGGAGGTTGCACTGGACTTAAAACTCCATAACAGTTTCCATGGAGTGATTGGGATCAACACCCAAAATGGCTGGCACACTAAGGACTTTGGATTTCTCATTGCCTAAGACTTCAAACAGAGACCAAGCAGCAGCAGACCACCAGGACTGCAGCAGCAGACTCACCCAGTTTCTGGTTCTCCATTTTAACACCAACCATGATGGGAACACCTGTCCGGAGTTGCAGGATAAGACTTCATTGCAGCAGGGAGTAGGCCTAAGCACAAGGATCTGTGAACACACCACAGCAACTTCAAGCTAAGAGACTGAACGCTTCCTCCCAGCTCTGGAGTGACAGAACAACGCCCCCCTCCACTTCTATCAACACTGCACTGCAAGTGCCACTCAGGACGTAAGAAAAAGAAAGTGAAATGGCACATTTCAGAATGGAGAATAAAATAGTCTTTATTTATATGACCGTGTCTGTAAAAATCTTGAGAAATGTACAACAAAACCCAAATTACACACATATCTTAATGAAACTAATTTAATGTACAGGTCTAACTGTAACTCTTAATGTCTAGAACTTCTAGAAAAAAATAAATAATCTGATTTAGTAATGACCTTTAAATGAAGACCAAAAGCAAAGACCA